AATCGCATATGGATGTGGTTGTGTTTCATGCCTGGAAATCTTGTTAAATTGTTGAAATAATTGGGTCATTCATAATAATAATAACGTCTTCTAATTGGATGATATTGTTATCCAATATGTCCATCATTTATTTTATCAGTTCGGACTTCCATTGTCTAATCTACTATATAAAAATGTGTGTTTGTTGGTTGGTTGGTTGGTTGGTTGGAAAGTGATGAACTTCTACATCACTCAACCGATCGTGATGAAACTTGACATGTATAATTTTACATAGAGAAGGTTTTTGGACTATCAATTTTTCTGTAACTCGCCACTAGATGGCACTGTAGAACACTTTTTTGAAAGCACTGTTCTATAACGCTTTGCACGCCTAAGTTCGTTGATTCTGATTCTGTCAAGACATTGGAACGGCAGCGAAACAGCAACATACTACTAGTATAATATAAATAAATATGAAATCCCTGAAAAAAATTAAAAAGATCAACCGAAAATAACAATTTTATTGAACAAAAAAACTGAAATAACACAATAACAATGAAAATGTTATTTTCGGTTGATCTTTATACTTTTTTTACAGGGATTTCAAATCAATTTATATTATATTAGACAATGGAAGTCCGAACTGATGAAATACACCATGACACATTGTTAACCACCTTGAAACAAATGTCCATCATTTGCTCACAAAAATAAGTTCTATCAAAATCAAAAAGCATGAGCTCCTGGATAGTTCGCATCTTATAGGGATACATTTTTTTATCTTTTAATGTGTTAACTGTCGATGTATAGCTAACATTGAATATAGTGGATGTCTGTCTACTCGATGTATGGGTTTCCTCAAACTCAAGCATCACATCTAATTTAAGTTCATCAATCATTGCATTGGCAGCTGCTTCTTTTATCTGTCCCAGATGACCAAGCTCGCGAAATTGCTTCTTCATTTTGCTTATTGTTCCTTGAGATATGGGCGATAAATTAGGAAATTTCTTTGAATTGAATAGAACTGGCCGGTACTTGATGAAAATCCATATAAAACAACTAATCAATACAGTTTATTTGTATGATGTTCACTATAAGGGTTTTACAAAAACCGCGACACGTGTTTCGTTATACAATAGCTTCTTCGAACGTAAACTACGCTTTGGTTATACAATAGCTTCTTCCAGCGTAAACTACGCTTGAAGAAGCTGTTGTATAGCGAAACACGTGTCGCGGTTTTTGTAAAATCATTATAGTGAAAATCATACAAATAAACTGTATTGATTAGTTGTTTAGGAAATTTCTCATGAAACAGGCGAGCTACTTTCTGTTGTTTTCTTGTTTTTGTTTCTATAACCAATCATTTGTAAAACTGTTATTTTATGCATTTCCGTTGAACTGACCATTCGTCAGACTTGATGTTAACGAACTTTGAACTTAAATTAAAATATTGTACAACTGACGTTGTAACTTACAAAATAAGTTGACAAGGCATTTCAAACTAACGTTGCCACGGAAATTATTTACTTTTTCAAAAGATACCATCTGAAAATAACATTGCTATGGTTCTTTCTTACTTTCTCATTATCAACGCCTCGATATAAAATAAGTTTTGAGTATATTGCAATAAGTTTGGAGTGTATTTTATCTAATTTCAGTAACCACATGATTTTATCTCAAGTGTTGTAATGAACTTGAAAGCAATAACATTTTTGAATGGAGAATGAAGAGACCTTTCAAATGATATATCACAAGCCTATACTTCCCATTTAAAAAATTGGGAGCTGTACCTGTCATTCGACGGGGGTAACCATTTTCCCGTTGAAGTATGTCAAATCATAATTTGAATTTGACGTGTTTCGGGAATTGCTTGAAATATGTACCATAACCGAAATAATGAATTTGTTCCATTTGGCTTTTACACACTGTATGTAGCGGAGCCGTGTTGAAATTAATCGAGTCCCAGACACTTTACTGTCCGGGTAGGATCTTTGCTGTACCGGCGAGAGGTAATTCGTCGAAACCGCGGTCTGCAGGTGATCTACTTGAATAATTTCATCATGGTCCTGCTGCTGGATGAACGAGAAACCTCTGCGAGACTAGCCTCTGTGAGGTATCTTGCATGAAAGTCTGTCGGATGTAATTCAATATCCAGCGTGGTATCAGCCGGGAAAATAGTTGTTTTCCCACAGACGTATACCAGAGCCTACTGAAAGCCTACAGGCCTACAGCTACACCCAAAAAATAGAAGATGTACTGGTAGGTTCGCCAAAGTATGTCATTGTTATATGAAACTCGTTATTGCTCATTGAAGTAGGATAGACCGTAGCAAACATCATCAGTAGTAGGCGCGTTATCTTCGAAACATAACTCCCATCCTTGCAGTCAACGCACATACCACTGATGATGTCTACCGCAGTAGCAGAGAAACGTTTGGAACTTCATGTTCCATGTTCTTATATAGTAAGCTAATTGACAGTTCTCAAAAACGGAGTAGAATCACAAAATATAAACTGATTTGTGGGACAACATTTTGTGTAATGGAAACTTTTCTTGTCGAACCTTTCTGAAACCCCAATTATTTTTCGTCAAAAACCAGAAGATGAGATATACAAAATATTTCTTTTTTTTTAACTCGGGCTGATTATTCCTTACTGTACAACATTCGAAAAATATTGCTTTGAATCATCCCCAGAAAAAAACACGCCGTCCGCCACTGGTCATCGTAGATTTATTGTGACTTGGCCTAGATATAGCGCTCAACTCGACTTGCGCTTCATGGTTGTTCTGTATGCAGCGTTGCTTCGATAGACTTCAAGCGACTTCACTATCGGCTTCGAGAGAATTCGATTACCATATATACATACTACCAAGACGCATATCGGGGAAGTCTAGTTGACAGTGTGGTGCGAAGTGATCTAATAAGGCGATAGACATTCAAATATTAGTTTGAAGTTTCACTTGAAGTTATTGGTTGTATTGTCAGTGTAGCAATAAAATAAATCACAGTGTAGTCAATTATTGGCAAATCCACGGGGAAAACGTGAAGATACTGTTGAAATTCGAATGAATAATCACAAATGCACGTGCTTAACTTGAAACAAGTGAGATTTCAGTTGATTTCTCAAAAAAAAAAATTAAAATCGATTCTTACTTCTAAGATTTGCGGATTTTCAATCTAACGAATACCCAATTGTAACTCTGATGAATTTCCTAACATCTTCCCAGCTTTATATCAAAAGTATATATTAAAAATGGATGCACAAACTTGAGATATTAAAGGGCAAGAACAGGGTCAAGAGAAACTTCCAATTACGTATAATATCCACCGAACGTTATTACATTTTGAAGCTTGTGTTTTCAATAAATAATTGCACCTCCGGGTATACTTGTATTTTGTTATTATATAACGTCTTACGAAGTCTCATTAGAGCAATATTAAATTTACATGCAAACAAGAATGTTGCTCAAATATTCTGTTGGAATCGCTTTCTACTAAGTACAGGAGTAATAACTTTGAGATTACTTTCCAATTTCCGATAAGATTGTTTTTTTGCCAATCATTAAATATGAAACTCATAATAACAGGGATAATATAACCTGATATGGAAAGATATACCAATTATAGGTAAGAAATGGCATGCCAAAGGAAGGGGAAGTTAGAAGAATTTGAATACTTACATTACCTGAAAATACGGAAAAAGAAAAATATACTTTGTACTGATAAAGTTCAACTCGGTTTAGAATCATGTTCCTGACAGAAATTGCCAAAAAACGTAATTACAAGTAATTATTACAAAAAGGCTGAAGCTAGCGATAGTCATTCCGCTTCATGAAGGTGGTGAAATGAATGATCCATCAAACTTCCGGCCTACAGCATTGCTTCTGACAATCTCAAAAATAATTGACACTGGTTGAAAAAAGAATGCTTAACTTCTTAAGGAATCATAGCATAGTATGCGAATCTCAATATGAATTCCAAAGCCAATCTTCCCGTTTCTGGAAGATGCATATATTGGTTTAAATAATAAAGAATCTATTGGAGCAGTATTCTGTGATTTCTCGAAAGCGTTCGACTGCGTGAACCATGAAACACTATTATTTAAACTTCAGTGATATGGCTTAAGAGGATTGTCATATAACTGGCTTTACAGTTATCTAACAGGCAGGAAGCAGTTAGTAAAACTCCAAGAAAATACATCGCCTATTGAGAATAATTCATCAGGTGTACTACAAGGTTCGGTTCTGTGTCCTATCCTTTTTCTGCTTTATCTGAATGATCTGGTAACCATTAACATCAAAGGAAAGTTCACACTTTTTGCGGATGACACCACGATCCTTTGGCGTGACACAAATAACGATAATCTCAGAGATATCGTAACTCTGGATCTCTATGGGTTTAAACAGTGGTGCGATTCAAACTCTTTATGTTTCAACACAAATGAAACAAACATAGTTTGCTTCAAACTCAATTTCGACGACTAACTTAAACTCTACCCTCTCCCACAGAACTTCACACATACTCGAAAAGATTATCATCTGTCAAGAAGTCAAATACGTCTGGATGTTACAACCTGAAAACAAAGCGAACGTAATATTGATGTAACAACTTTAGGTAGGAGTTAAGTGAAACTTAATATACCACATTGACATGAGTTTTTACGTATTAGCTACTACATATTCACATAAATTATTTATATTTATTTGATTTTAACACAATCAAGACCCAGGTATCTAGCAGAGGTATATGGTATAAATAAGGAAAACATTATATGTAGATTCAGTTTAATCTTCATCTTGAAGATGGTCACTTGGTGGTTGAAACACGATAGAATAGTTTAGGTACAAATAACTCTAAAAAAGAATCATTTCCTAAACGTATTGTTAGCGTCCAACAAGGCCTCTAAAACTATCGATTGCGAATTTCTCCACATCTCTCAGCTTCCGTACTCCAATTTCAAACAGCATCTCGGCAATTACTGTATTGCATGCAGTTCACTTTTCTATGGAAAGACAAAAACTAGAATACAAAAAATGTTTTTATTTTCATCAGTCTACATGTTCAAACAAGAGCAACTGAACATAATCAGTTGTCAATTGCGTATACACGCAATGTTCATGGTACAGTTCACTTCACTATTTACGTCAAGATAAGTTCTTCTTCAAAGATCAATCTCAGCTCCAGTATTATCAATACCGCACTTTGACAGTTTAGAGTTCAAATTGCTACTAATATTATCATTATTATTGATGTTTCCCTTCTCCATCATTCGTCCAATAGTGCTTATCGAAATCACATCGGTATCAATATCGGGAAGCTGCCTTTTGTAGAGTCGTCTAGCAAGAGCTCCCAGCAAAATCATTTCAGATAACATCAAAGTGTTGTGTATTACTGGAACAAAAAATAATTAACGCCGATGAACAGTTCAACAAACATACAGTATTGCATCTAAATTGATACTCAACATACCGATCTTACAATACATATAAATTATCATAAATGAATGGCCCTACAGAAAAATAGAAGTACTCGTATAACTATCCAATCATTAAGAATGAAACTTACGATTTGCGTAAACTTGTGGCGTTATTGGTGATCTACAGGGAAAAATCCCATTCGACACCAAAACACGGAAGATCAGTCCTTGCAGTTTTGCAAAAACCAAAACCAGTTGCAGCACTAAAAACTTGCCAAAAAGCAAATATTCTTGGTCGAGATTGGCCTTCAGAAGCCGGATCAGCATTGACATGGACCATATCCCCAAAACTATCGACAGAAAGACGATTGGCTGAAGATACAAGTAGTTTACTTGATATAGGCTCTGAAAATGGAAAACATTTTTCTAGTATCGTCTCTATGATTTGTTTGATGCAGTAGAAAGAAAATAAGTGATTAATCAACTTCAATGAAAACTCTTTACGAAGATGATAGCAAACATTTATTTCAGGTACACACTGAGTTCATCGAAAACAACTAGTTCCAAGGATTTGATAGTTCATACTGGAATCTCAGCACTGGAACACCACCAGTACAAAAATTACGGTCTATCTCCACGAACTTGGATCCGATACGTGGATGATGTATTTGCCATTTTTGATACGATTAGGAGTGTGGTAGAGGATTTTGTATCTTGTTTCAACAACATATTTGCAAGTATACAATTCACGTATGAAATTGAAAATAATGAAGAACTGCCACTCCTGGCTGTACTAGTTATCAAAAATGTCGATTAGGGTCCAGAGTTTGATATACAATGTATATAGAAAGAATACGAGCACTTTTGAGTATATCCCTTACAGCTCTCATCATTGCCCACAACCAAAAATGGCGAGACTACAATTTCTTGAACATAGACAGCTCACATTTTCCTTGAGCAAAGAAAGATAAGGTTAAAAAGAAAGTTGATAGGGAGGTGGCTGAAAGCAACGGATATCCTTCAAACATAGCGAATAAATAATTTAGAAAACAAAAATTTAGGGAGTGTCTTCGTAATGCCTCCACTTTTCGAAAAGGGGAAGATTCAAAATTCATAGTGCTTCCAAATACACCAACGGATTGGTTTAAACATTCACAACAATGAATATAAGAGTGGTTTCCAAAACTAGACATATACTTCAACAAGTGTTGGCAGTCCGAAAGACAAAACGTTAGAAAAAGAAAAGTCTGGAATTTACGAAATGAGCTGCGAAGATTGTGATAAGAAATATGTTGGTCAAACCAAACGGACTATAATAGCTCGCTACAAGGAACATGTTTCGCATGTTCGGTTTCATAGGCAGAATAAATGCAGTCTCGCTCAACATGTCATAGAGAACGATCACATAATAAGTGAGAAATATTCAAAATTGTTGAGACCAGTACATGGCCTTCAAAAACTTGGAAAAGAGCGGAATGAGTTCCATGAATAGCGACAAAGGTCCTATTCCGAACAGCTCTTTTTTGATCTCATACGTAATAATTCTGGATGAAAAAACAGATAAATACTAAAGAAAAAGTGTAGGAGATAGTCACTAACATTGAGGAAATACATGACAAAACAGAGGTAGGTAAAACAGGTACCCAGTTTAGCATAGGAACTATAACAGGTACCTAGTAGTTAGATACTACTAACAGAAAGTAGTTGAGCCACTAGGATATAAAAACACTAACATAGTAGTGAAATTTAGTCATTACGATCTCCTGAGGACGCTTTTGTTCTGGTGTTGAGAAAGTGTTTTCAATAGATCCATTTCCAAGGAAATGAACATTGAGTTACAAGAAAATCACTATTTCTCATTCATTTCTTACACCAAACATTCATTATAAAATTGAAACAAATAACAGAAACACTGAGCAACGTAATATATGAAAAGTATCAAATACTTATATCTCCTAGAAAAGATTTCCTTTTTGATCTAAAATAAAGTATCGTCTCAATATTAATAAATGGTAATTCTTCATTTTTCCATCTGTTTCAGTCAAACTATAGTGGATGCTTGTGGTGCAATTGCTTATACAGGGTGGGCCTTCGAAAACTTGACATGGCGGTTTTGGGTACTAATCTTGCAAATCCGAAAAAACGCTCCGACAGGTAGATTTTTATTGGGAGGGGGACAGTGTTTTTCCCATTTACAGCGTTGTCACTTCAACCCCGGAGCAGAGGGGTGAACAAACCTTGGAATTTTAATAGGGAATAGGGGGCGAGTCGCACATCTTCTGAAAGATCTTGGAATTCTCTAAAAAATGGTTCAATTTTTTTTTTATTTGGACGTATTTAAAAGAGTTGTTTCAGATAATCAACTTTTTCAATATTGTTAATAGCAACACTGCTCTGCCACACACGCCACTGCTCAGTTGGAATGTATTTGGAACTCTTTTATTTGTTTCTCAGGCTACTTTTCTGTTAATTTTTTAGTTCTTCTCTGATAAGAGAACTATTACAATTGTATAATGGTAAAATATGCTGTTTCTATTTATTATTTTTATGTGAAAAGTGAAATCTACATTATTACTAGTAGAGAGTGCCGTAAAGTGTTGCTAAAAAAACAATGGTTTACTCAACTTCAGAGAGAGTCGCGACAGAGAGGGTCGCGACAGTCTGTTTTCGATTTAATTGCAAAATTTCGCGCAAATGGATCTGTAGCAAATAAAAAACGTCAAATCGAACCACCAGTAACAAATGAGGCGATAGAAGTGACAATTCTGGGCCATGTTGAGCTTGACCATACTTTGAGCACAATAAAGTTAGCATTTGTTTATGGGGTATCACGAACTAGCATACGACGTATTTCAATAACCCACAAAATGCATCCTTACAAAATTAAATTAACGCAAGAACTGAATAAAGATGATTTTGATCGACGCTTACAATTTTGCGAGTTGGTTAGTGAACGAGTGGTGGTAAATCCACCACTCAACATTTGCTTCAGTGATGAATGTTCTTTTTTTCTAAATGACACAGTTAATCGCCATAATTATCGCTATTGGGCTAATTCAAATCCTCACATTTTTCATGAAGTGCATACTCAACGTCCACAAAAATTAAATGTATGGGCTGGAATTTTTGGTGACCGTATTATTGGCCCATTGTTTTTAGAAGACGAATGTATCTGGAGTTTCTAGAAGATACTATTAATCCCCTTCCCACTGATATTATTGAAAATAACCACAATTATCGGGAGGATCGGTTAATAATTCAACAAGATGGGGCTATGCTCTGCCTGTTCGGCAGTATTTCGATTAGACTTTTCCGAGGCACTATCGAAGGGCCACCAAGATCACCAGATTTCTTTCTGTGGGGTCGTTTGAAAAGCAGAATTTACTGTACTCCTCCTGCATCCCTCGAAGATTTACGGCAACGAATCACAAATGAATGTCGCCAAATCACTTCAGAAATGCTCCACAATGTTCGAGAACGTTTCCAGCTGAATCTCTATTATTGCATAGAAGCTGAAGGTACCCATTTTGAGCATATGCTAACATGAGAATAAAGTAAGTAACTTCAAATCTAAATTTAATATGGTCCGTTCAAATAAAAAAAAATGTACACCGTTGTTTAGAGAATTCCAAGATCTTTCAAACGATGTACGACTCGCTCCCTATTCCCTGTTGAAATTCCAAGGATTGTTCACCCCTCTGCTCCGGGGTTGAAGGGACGACGCTGTGAATGGGGAAAAAAACTGTCCTCCTTCCAATAAAAATCGACCTGTCTTTCTAGGATTTGCAAGATTAGTACCCAAAACCTCCATGTCAAGTTTTCGATGGCCCATCCTGTATACAGGTTTTTCAGTGATTTCACGAATTTCTCCATAAAATCCTACCTCTCTTTCTGCCCACATAACAAGTAATATCAGGTAAACCAGTCCTTGTACCACAGGAAGCTGGAGCACCAACAACCTCAGTGATCTTAAAGTTGATCTGCAAAACCAATAAATATAATAACTTTTGAAACAACTACATTTATATGAACATTGAATCATACAAAAACACGCATCCCTATTCAGTTTGTATTCCAAACATCCGTTATGTAGTGGAATCAGATATCATTCACACGATTGCTACACAACACAGTACATGAAAGAGGGGAAAATTTCATTCACACGGAACACTGTCATCCTCAATAGCCACCTTTCAGATCCCTTGCTTTACCTCATTTCAAAAGACATACTTGGTTACTCTGCAATCCGGCAGGAAGAAACAACATGGCCAACAGCAACACGGTGGTGCTTGTAACCTCAGAGTGTTGGGTTTGACCTTCTCCACTAGGTTGGCCTCTCCCCCACAGTAAGCCACGAAGAGACAGAAGAGTTGGTACATGCCCGACATGAACATGCCTTGCGTGATGGCTTCTGCGAGGAGGTGAGCTCTTGGAACTAGGATGGCGAGGTAGGTCACCAAGGAGACAACCTGAAAAGGAAGTGATTTTCATTGTAGATTATATATATCAGGTCACTTTTTATGATTGATCAGCACTTTTTAAATTTCAGATGAAGAAAGATCCAAAGTGGATGATGTTTTTCTGAAAGAGACAGTGAGTGTTTGTTGCGGTAATGTTCTTGGGGTAATGGCACTGCTGAAATATTCAGCAAATCTAGGAACAATATCCTGAGGTTCATCGTACTGTTGTAAATCATCCCCTGGAAAAAATAATGCCGGCCGTCGCTGGTAGAAAAATTCCATGTTCAAGATGACCTACTCACTTGGTAATGAGAAAGCTTGGATGAAAGAACCCATTAATTTCAGATAATCCTTCCAAAGACGTTTATCTCCAATTTACTCAAACAGCTCCACGATGATCGCACTGGAGAGCATTCTGGAATGAGTAGAACTCTAGCGAGGGTGCGTGAGAGGGACTATTGGGTCAATTGCCGCCGCGACGTGAAGAAGTGGTGTAAGCGCTGTGACCTGTGCTCTCCACGAAAGGGTCCGAAAACAACGCAAAGAGGAAAGTTGGAGCAGTACCTAAGTGGGTGGCCTTTTAAAAGAATCGTAGTTGACTTTCTGGGATCACATCTGGTAACAAGTACTTCATGGTTGTGATGGATTATTTTCCAAAATGGCCTGAAGTAGTAGCCTTACCCAACCAAGAGCTTGGGTAAGCCCTGTTGCAAAGCGTCATTTCCAGACAAGAAGTACCCCAGGAGTCGAATGGGATACATGAAAGGAAATGATATCACGCATCGAAACAACAACGGACCTGGAGAACGCCACACACCAGCTACAGCAGGCGATCATCCAAACGATGGAAAGAAGCGCACGGGAAGTCCCAGCCCCACGCTTCAACTTCCAAGAACAGCTCCCACCAGAAACGATGGAACTGGTCAGGATAAGAAGACACATGAAAAGCCGGTATCAAAGGACTCGCGCGCCTATAGACAAAAGGAGCATGCAGAGAGCCAACAGGATACTGAAAGAAGAATTAGAAGCTATCCGAGAAAGACAATGGACTATTCGTCTGGAAGAACTGAACACTGAAGACCAATCTGCATGGAGAATGCAGAAAGTACTCAGGAATGGACCTCGACAGCTATGCCCGCCAATACACTGACCAGGAGAAGGCGGAAGCATTCGCGGACAACTTCAAAAGGCAGTGCAGAGAGAACGACCTCGTTCACGGACGAAGTAGATGAAATAGAGAGACAGGTGGAAAGAACGGTACGAAGATTAAAACGACACACGGATAACGCGCAACCCCTGGCCCCGACATCTCCCGGGCAAGTGAAAGACATCCTAAGACGTCTACCCACTCGGAAAGCACCAGGCCCTGACAACATAACAAACCGGGCATTGAAAGTACTACCGTCATAAATGTACTAACATCATAAATACTATACTCAGATTGCAGCACCAATTCAAAGAGGCAACGGTTATCCACATCCCGAAGCCTAAGAAGACCCACCTGTTCCCAGATAATCACAGGCTAATAAGCTTACTACCTTCCATAGGCAAAGTGGCGGAACGTGTCATTTTGAAGAGACTCGAGGATCAAACTGGAGAGCTAGGAATCCTCCCGGATGAACAATTCGGTTTTAGATCAGAACACTCGTTAGAGCTACAAGTCCTGAGGGTAGTAGACTTTGCGACCGAAGGCTTCAACCTCGGCAAAGGATACAACACCGGAGCAATCTTCTTAGACGTTTCCAAGGCGTTCGACAGAGTTTGGCACGACGGACTACTGGCCAAGATGAGCGATTATGGATACACAAAACCAATGGTAAGATCAATTCAGTCTTTTCTAGCTGACAGGCGATGCCGTTGTAGAGTAGGAGACGAACTATCAACAATTCGAATACTGGAAGCAGGGGTCCCGCAAGGAGCAGTCCTTTCGCCACACCTCTTCTCCGTGTACACAGTGGACGTGCCCAAGCTAGAGAACAACTTCAACAAGTTGGCACTCTACGCAGACGACACGGCACTGCTGGCGAGATCCACAAGCCAAGCGCATGTTACAAGATACTTGCAGCAACAGGCAAACAGATTAGAGGAGTGGGCAACCTGTGGAAGATCAGTATAAACCCTGACAAGAGTCAGGCGATAATGTTCACCCGCAGGCACGTGCAACTGGAAGGGAACGTCACCTTCAACGGACAAGAGATTCCGTGGACCAACAAAGCGACATACTTGGGAGTCATCTTAGACAGGAGATTAACATTTCAGTCTCATGTACGGCTGATAATTGCAATGGCTAGACACGCCAGACAACACCGGGCACCGATCATAGGACGCAGAAGCAACATGGGGTTGAACGTAAAGTTCTCATGCCCATAAATACGGAATGCCTGCATTGACTGGGGCCAGCGAGCGTAAGGGCGGCTATAAACGCACCGTACTACATCCCAAACAGATTCATATACAGAGACTTAAACCTGGACATGCAATATGTGGACGTGTATATGAAAGAACATGCAGAAAGCATGTTCGATAGAATCAGATCACACAACAACCCAGCGCTACGCGATCTACACAATGCGTTGAACATGGATGACCTCAGATTCCGAGAAAGGGATAAACACCCGAGGCCAACAAAACAAAACCAACGACCACCTCCACGAGTCGCCATCAGGCGACTCAGGCAAGTATAACACTAATCAGATAAACTCTCTTTCAGGTAGAACGTAGAACAACTCGACCGCGATTCAATTCCCCTCAGATTCACTGAGGAACGCTCGACGCTCATAACAATAGCCGCCGGTTAGTTTTTGGGGGCCCCCATGCAAAAATTCAGTTAGGAATAGTCACGACTAAACACTTATCCGATCGCCAAAGAATAGCACCTAAAGGCTGACTGTCGACCAAAAGAGGTTAGATGTCAATCTTGCTGAAGTGCCCATCAGTAAGTTGAGGACCGCTCGGAGAGCGGGGGTGGAAGGAGTGGGGTAGTAGCTTCTCCTCGCTAACTAGCTGGGGGGAAGCTTCTACTTCAGGGCACTCAACCCGGGAGGGGGCATGCGGGGGGGAAGGAACTGATGACTTTGTTGGGAATAAAGAAGATAAGAATTGCTCTTATCTTAACATGAAGCGACAGACTACACACCATACATGTTGTTATCTGGTCGAGAAGTGAAGCTTCCGATATACGTTATTTGTGGGTGCCCATCCGATTTATCTTGAGAGGAATCCCTTTCAGAGAATGATCTCAGGAAGTAACTGGACATTGTACACAAATATGCCGGATCCAAATTACAGCTTTCTAGCGACAGAAGAAACATAAAATTTTATAAAAAGTCACTGCAGATAAGCTCGAAAGAGGCAGATGCAATGTGATTCTACCCACCCCTACGTCGGAAAGGTTTGCGTCCCAAATTTTAGAGACCATGGCAAGGACTTCACTTGGTGACTAAAGAGATAAACAAGATGGTGTACAGAATCTAAAGTTGGGCAACTGAAGTCCTTATATGGATCGTATAAGGACTCAGTACAAAGCCTACATTCCATCTAGCACAAGTGCAAACCAATCAGGGATGAACTTCACTTCACCCGTCTCTACTAACCCCTACAAGTATAAACATGTGAGAACGTCGAGCTCCCCAGTCAGTCGTTGCAAATATTTCGAGGTAACACCTTCGTCCTGGCGCCCATCGCATACACCACTGAAAATGTATGCCGCAGTAGTAGACGAAACGTTTGATACTACAAGTACCATTCGCTTACCGGCCCGGATTGTGTTCTGTTTCATGAAAAGACAAAGATTTCAGTTTTCCACGATGAGTATTTTCCACAAAGAAAAATTTTCTTTTCGTCAGTAACTTGTCATATTTAACAATATTGCCTATCAAAAAAAAAGTACTAAGACATTCTACAGATGATAATCTCAACGTTTCAGAGGTTGAAATATGCCCTTGTCAACAGAATTACAAAAAATCTAACGGAACTTGCAGTTTTCTCTGTGATTCGTTTTATTTATGCAGCGTCCTCGATAAATGTCAAAGGAATTTTGAAATTAGAAACTTGTCAATATTGTTTATGTCAATAAGTAGTACAACTATGATATTAAGTCTGTCTTATGGACGGATAGTCAAGTACGATCCATTTATAAGGAGCTGTTTTCTGACAATTTTGATCCTTTCAATTACCTATTCTTGACATAACCTCAATGTTCGTCCTCGCGTGCTTTTAGTGGCCTTGAAGTTTCATTAATTCAGGTTGTGAAAGGTGGTCAAGTCCCTAAAAAAGTCGATAAAATACCTATGATTTTCTCCACAAAAAATGACTATTTCAGTAACAGACCCTTGTTCTTGATAGTTTGAAATAGTCTTACCCCCTCATTAAAATCTTGACAAGCGGATTTGTACTCACAGGATAAACGCCGATGACAAATGCTGAATGAGTTTTCACTCTGGGAGAAGCATTTTTCATGATGTAGAATAACGTGTCCACAAACAATGCCAAGACCACAAGAACCGGCACAGTTCCCGCTGTAATGAGTGTGATGCCATAAACATCCGTCTCTGCAAAATAGAACGATGTTTCAGTATTACGAAATTATAGGATGCTCAAGATTTCTATTCAAGAATAATTGAAGTTTCAAGTTGAATAATTCAGTGTGATAACACCTCCAAAATACAAATCAAGAAATTATAAAACAACAACAAAAATTAATTGGCGCTCCGGGGCGACTTCATTGATTCCAGTGGCGCATATGCTTTTTCATCTGCAGGAAAGAACTGTTTTGTA